CATAATACAAATAACTACACATAAAAACTTGAAAGATTGTAATTAGACAAGAATATTAAAATTTTGGAGAAAATGGTTTATTAGATTTGTGTTTCATTATTTTTTGCATTATTGTTTCTAACTTTGTAATTATAAACAAGTTCTCAGTAACAAAAATCATAGATTCTACTAGTTGCATAAATGTTCGATTTTAGTTAATGTGAGTCCGCGCTTGATGTACTGACGCTATTTTTTAAATATTCAGCATAAAATTGCCTAACTTAATCTTATCATTCAAAAATATTTAACCTGCTTCTTGCTTCAGGTAGTAAATTATTGCTTCCATGTCAGACTAAACTCTGCATGTACTAGGTAAGAAGAGGCCAAAGTTTGTAAGATTGGTTCGGAAATAAACTGGTGTGCAAAAATTAAGGACGAAGTCGAAAATTTAGCATATCAGCTCAACGAAGAGGCAGAGCGGACAGAAAGACCAATCAGGAGATTAAGTAAGGTATGTACGGTAGCACACATGCGCATATGCAGTAACGTATGGGGGAGTGTCCTGAGTAATAAACATGTGTCCGGTACTATCAGTATTTCTGGCAAAGAGATTTGCACGCCGTATAGCAGTTAAAACACAACAACACCGAGTTGCTGCCGTCAGCGAAAATGGCGATAATCAATCTGTTAGACGACATCTGATGCTTTTAACCCGAGGTCGAATCATTGGGAAGTTGGAGGAAGGCGCAGTGTGACAAGTGTGGCTGCAGAGTCGGAATTGCTCACAGCATCATTTCACGACTTTGGAGACAATTTCAAACTACAGAACAGCTATCGGGGGTTTAGTAGTGGTCATCCACGAGGCCACACCCTCAGATGACCAGTATATTGCCTTACAGGCCAGAAGAAACAGGCGCAGACAGCGGGAGAAATCGCTAGACACGCCCAGCGACTGGACGACCGATATCGCGTTTTTACCGTGGCCAGAAGACTGCACGTGGTGGTCTGTTTGCACGACGCCCTGTACGTTTGTACCTCTACGCCTGCCCATCGAAGAAGGCGTTCTCTGGTGGCCGGGAACACCGAATTGGAGAGACAATGATGGGGACGAGTACTCTTAAGATAGCGCAGATTCATTCTGAGTAGCGATTCTCAATCGCATACTCATCTGGAGAGGGGCGGGTGAACGCATCATCCTCGACTTATGAAAGGACAGTATGGAGGTGGCGGTGTTCTCGTTGGGGAGCAATTCTTGGTATCGACAGACTCACATCTTCGACGCAGGTTCAGTCACGGACCCGTTTATTGTAACGAGATTCTTCTCCATAGATGCTCTTTTTCGAGGTGCTTGGTCCGCAGTTGGCTTTCTGGACGACATGCACCATTCACGCACAGTAGCTGCCGAAGCCTTGAAGTGAAGATATGACGTAAAATGGAGGGCCTCCGGATCTCATCCATCTAGCATGTATGGATTTTCTATGCGCCTTGGGCTCGTACCTTACCACCAAACGATTCCGGAGCTTCGTTGGCGCTGCCAGACGAAATGTGGCAGCACTGCCTCAACAACTCTTGACCCCTCATTCCGCAGGGCCCACGCTGTGAAAACCTGCCTAGCATCAGGGGAGATCATATCCCCTATTAAGCCGGATTTTCTTGCGGACACCCCTCACAGGTATTTTCGGCCTCAAGATTGCCTCATTCGGCATGCTACTTTTTCATAAGCTTCTTTTTATCCTCGATTTCTCTTTTATAATGTGCTTACATACCATGTCCTACGTATTGGGGATCTTTGGTATTAATGTGTTGATTTGAAAGTTTTTGTACATTTTATATGAAAAAACCGTCCTCGTCCTTATTTTTGCACCCATTGTAGATTCCCCCTCTCATTAACGAATTTCAGAACAAGTAACGGTTTTTTTTAAATCTTGTTTCTTGTGTTTTCTGCGTTTATTTTCTGTATTCATTGTAGCCAAAGAATATGCATTAAACCTATATATTTGTTTTAAACATAATTTGTTTAAAAATTTTTAATTATATGCTACTTGTCTTAATAATTTTGTGTATTTTCCCCATTTATTTATTTTATAATTTCTTCTTTACTACATGATGCAATTTCACATCAATAAACAATTAATTATCAATCTTATTAATAATTTTTGTAGTCAGTGGGATCTTGACTATGCTGATCAATTGGAGGTGCATATTCGGCTTTTGACTCCTTGATCATCACTGACCTTCTTTAAAATTTCATTGAGCCCCCAAGAGGTCAACAGCTACCCCGTTGGGAACCCAGACGCTAGAATATAAAAATCAAAGTACTGACAGTCTTGATTCGAACTGTTATGAAGTATATTAACTCGTTAAGCGCCGTTCCTATTTTGTCCCTTCTGTTTAGTCCGCGATATCCAATTTCACAAATATGGCTGCTGCCAGAGGTCTGTGTAGAATTTGATTGAAAAATATAATTCTTTTCAGTTGTATATCGTCAATCAATATTGACTGCCTTGACCTGAACGAAAAGTATACTATCAGTCAGCAGCCTAAGCGAAATATACGCGAGTATACATCGGTGGCTAACGCGGCCCGAACGAAAAAATATAGTGCCTGTTCAGGGGTGACTGACATTGGGATTAACATGTTAAAGATTGCCTTTTCTTTCATTAGTGTTCTCTCCATTAATAGTTCTTTCTGCAACTGAGAAGAACAGCAGCAACTGCTGCTAGAATTTAAATTAATGCTCAAAGTATTTTGAAATAATCCAGGTGTTAATTCTATTTAATTAAGATTTCTCTCTTGAGATTTTAATCATACTGAATAGATTCCATCCATCTAATTTCAGTTTATCCTTCTTGTTGTGTTTAAATCTGATGTGCGTTTTTGGATTTTTATTTTTCATTTGAGTACAAACTATTTGACTGTTTCTCTTTTGTAACAAAGAGACGATAAATTAAATTAATCTTCCTTGTTTTAATTACTCATTTATTAAATATTGATCTAAGGTGAAAATTTGTTGAATGAGGAGTTTAAGCATTGCACCTGCTCAGCCATTTACACATAATCTAAGTATAGCGATCTAAGTACAGAAAGAATAAGCTCTAAAACGCACATAGACAACACTTTCCATTCATGTCATTTCTCTTAAATTATTCCCCGTTACTATATGCAAATTATATAAACCGGAAAAGTTAATTTATATTTGAATGAGAGCGAATTATTTTTAATTTTAATTTTTTTCCTTTGACCAGCCTATATAGTCAAGAGATAAATGCTTGATAATTATAGCTATTTCAAACGCTATTGAAATTTTACTCTTAAAATAATAAAAATTTTCCTGTTTATAGTAACTAGGAGATTCAGTGTTGTAACAGGTAAAACGCATTCGAGCTTTTGTTATTTCATAGCATCATTGAAACATTTTAAATAAATTTATTTATTTGCTTCTTAAACATTAGGATTGGTAAATATTCTTTCAGTTCTATACTATACCTGTGACTTCTGTGTGTAATCATAATTACATCGTTTTCCAATAAATGTGAAGCATTTATATCTTTATTTTTAATTTAATTTTACACGCTAGATTTTTAGATGAAATGTTTTCTTTAAATAATTGAATTTCAATTAATTAAAGAAAAAATAACACACCGAATAACGAATTAGAGATAAGGCAACAGAAATCAGAGGAAAATAATGAAATGAATTATGAAAAATGAATGAGTTATAAAAGGAATTATGAAACTTACCACTGATTCCTGTTGCCTTGACAACTCTAGTTGAATTTTTAAATTGTTTGTTATTCACTAAACAGACTTAAATGTTTTTCGTAGCGTTTTATTCTGGAAGTTATCAGCTGAGTTATATCCAATAATATATAATATTCATCCTATAAAAAAGTCACATTATACATATATATATATCAAAATTAGAACATTAGTTAATAATACCTCAAAATGATTCATTATGATTTTTTCCATAGGTTGAACCTCACGAATACCTGCAATTGTGTCTACGTCATCTTGCCAGAGATAATACGAAAAAAGGATTTTGTAGTGTGGCAGCATCTTATGTGATGGAATGCGAAAGCAATTATGTGGAATTGAGCCTTCCACCGGAGTGCCGTAAGCAAATATTGAAAATGTTTTCTATGTAAATTTGAATCATTATCCTTAATAAGTGCAATAAATGAATTCGCTTTATTAGCCCAAAAGGCGTTAGCCCAGAAGAGCTATTAATTTTGGCTTTAAAGCCCAGAAAGGCTTTAAAGTTTTGTCATTTTGCGTTGGTTCACTATAAATTTCGGATCACTTTTCAAATTGTTGCCACCAAATATTAGAGCCCTGTGTTATACTTAAAGAAATTAAATAATGAAGAATCTGCATGAATGTATGCATGTTTCTCGCATTATGATAAACAACGGTACCTAAGCCGTCAATTGAAAACTACGTCTAGACAGAATACGGGATCTCGAGCCAGAATTTGATGAAATTTTTTTATTCGATTTCTTTTGTAACACTTAACAAATTTTATATAAATCAACGATTTTAAAGAGAGCATGGAACACTGTACGAAAAAAAACATTTTATCTCCAGCGCGCGGACTGTTTATTGGAATTAAAGTATCCTCATTTTAAACTATTTTGCGAATGCTGTTGAATTGATTTTAGTTTAAGTGTAATAATGAATTATAAATAAAGGTAAAACACAAAACGTTAGAAAACGCCCCTTTGGGCGTAATGTAAAATTTGAAAGCTTTCAGGTTTTATTTTATTTTATTTTTATTTTTTTGTTTCACTTTGCAAGGGTGGGACAATTATGTTGATCTCTTAGTGGTTAATTTTTACTTCTTGTGTTCCCTTGTCCATTTTATCTTTCATAGCACTAGTTTGTCCAATCCAGAACACTGCACTTCTTGTACCTTTTTAGCAGGTTGGTAAACTAAAATTTGAATTTCAGTTTCACTTTCTGTAGTTTTAGCTACATTGTTTCCAGCTGTCTCTCGAATTAGGCCATATTTTTATTTGTTACTTATTAAGTAGGAATATAAGTCTTTATTCCCTTACTGGCAATAACTCCTTGACACTGAGTGCAGTCTAAGGTAGGTAGTTAGATGGGAGAAAATTAACAAGCAGAACTTTAGGTTACGAGGGCTTTGTTTCAAATGAAATACTAAAACAGAAAGTAGCTATTTGTTAAGAATTTTTTATGGATTAAAATATAGGATCCCCTTCTTTCTTCCAAAATTAGAAAACTTTCAAAAAAAAAAAAAAAAAAAAGGCACCACTGCGAAGCTGAGAAATTTCGCATTCTTGACCAGCTTCATTCAACAAATATTTTCCATTTTTATATGACTATATATTTCTTTCATATTTTTCTACAAGCTAGATAATGCATAAGGTATAACTTATAAATTAGATCTATTTTCTGGTCCCAAAGAACGTATCGATATCAGAGTTATATAACTAATACAATATAATTATTATGAACGCACCTTTGAAAATATTATATAAAGTACAAGGTGATTGGAAGAAAATGCTCCGATTATTATAATGCATTACATTATAACTTTCAAATATATTGAAATAATTCAAGTGTTTAAATACTAAGATGTGCGTGAAATGTTCTTCTTACCTTATGATGTTACGATTTTTGCTCTATCTTTTGTATGCTTCTTTCGACTCTTCTAAATTATTAAGTTACAGTAGCGATTCCTATTGCAAATATTTTACATAGTGCTTGCTGGAAATGAGGAATTTTTTGCCGTGCGTAATGCCCTTGGTTATGCCTATAAAACAAGGTTATTTAAATAAGACAGCACATTCTTAGACTGCTCTGCTGTACTAGGTAGATTGATAGCTTTCTAGAATCAGAATAGGAATAGGCTCGACTAGGCTGAATCAGAATAGGCTCGATTAACCTATTTTCATCTATAATCTGTTACTTTAAAATAGGCTCTTCAACGTCATTTTGATCGTAAAGCGTGCTATCATCACTACTTATTTTCTTCACATCATTTGGGACTACATTTCAAACGAGCATTTGTTCTTGTCCTTTCGTGAGAAGTTTTTAATCTCACTTCCACATTCTGAAAGATTTCCACATTCTGAAAACCTGGAGTTGCCTATGTAAAGGACATTTCAGTATTAGCCACACTTACATAATTTTTTTTTAATTCAGTGCTTAAATTATCACTTTTTCTATTCTTACATACTACACCCGACCTTTGAATAACAGATGTTGAACAGTTTTCTGAAGGCTGAAAATTTTCATTATTTACGATAACAATACTATTAAGTTCTACTTTAAGCTTTCCTTTCTTCATGTTTTCAATGTTTGCTCCGTTGGAGAATAAAAGGCTCAAGTTTTCAGATAGCTCTTCGTATAAATATCCCTGAAATGTAATACAATAGTGGAAACTAAATGTTTAAGAAAATGGTTCATTAAGTTTATGAAGATACTGGTTGGAGCCTGAATCTATGCTTTACCTTGTTTTACTTTAATAAAATCTTTCGGAAAATTTATTCCTTAAATAGAATTTCTTAAATGGTGCCTACCTTCTGGTAGTTTATGCTAGACTGTTAGATTAGTTAAATCAGCAATTTTATCTCGTAGTTAAGTGCACATTTCCATTTGTGAATACTTTCTGATATGTATTTTTTAATATTATCTGATTGTCTTCAATGTTCAGCTATTTGATTTTAAGTTCTGTTATGGCCTAAGTAATTAGCCAATAAATTTTAATTATTAGCTAATTACTTAGGCCATAACAGAACTTACTTTGTATTTGTTTGCGTAATCTACCTATAACCTACTAGACTTCACATTATCTGTAGAAATCTAGGTATAATCTCATTCATTGAAAACAATTTAGAACTACTGAGTGTTTCAACATGATGTTGAACATTAATAATATGAAAACTGCTAAAGATGAGTTGAAACTACAATGCCTATAACCTGTGAGTATTTTCTTTTTGTTAATTCCGGGGATAAAAAACATTATTATGCATGAAATATCAGAGGTCACAATATGTTTTCAACTGGAATGATATTAAAGTGTCATTGCAAAAACTGAAATTGTGCGGGAGGTGCAAAGATGATGGAAACAGAATGTGATACTTCGGCACCTTGATGAATATAAGATTATGCGAGAGAGAATTGTGTGCGATGTGAAGAAAGTACGGTGCGGCAGGAAGAGACTAATAACAAATCAAGGAAATATGTAGACTGCGTTACAGACTTTCACAAAATCACAGAGAAAAGCAAGGAACTGCATGAAAGATATTCAAACAACTTTGCTGTCCTTGCCGTTGAAATCATTTTTGCTGTTTTACAGTGTTTCAGATTATATACTGATCTCAATAGTGGATGTTTTGAACATCTATAACTTTAACATATGCAACGTTCAAAAAGTTCATAATTGATGTCATTAGAGTCTCTCTTATTATGTGATTTTTATGGATTGTACTCAAAGAGTGTAAAACAGTGGCTTTTGTCCCATTCAACTTTTTCACCATTTCTAGAAGATCATTCCCCTCTCCTTTCCAAAATTGAAAAAAAAAAAAAACATATACATATATTCAGATTTACAATTATTTTTTAACATGTTTTATAAATTAAACAACAAAAAGTGTATGAAATATTGTTAAATACCAAAACTTAAATAAAAGTAATTTTTATATTCATAAACTAAAATCAAATTCTTAAGAGTTTAACGAAAGGTTTACCGCATTCTCCCCTGAAACTCTTGGAAATAATTACCCCCTTGTTGAGATCCCTAGTTGAGAAACCTAGAACCTTAAAAAATTTTAACATAAATATACAATAAATTGAAGAGCCATTGAAACAACAGAATGCTCTACACAGATTGAGAATGGCTGAATTAAGTGAATAAGACGATCATATATGTGACATTTTTATATTCATTTTGTGATTTTTATGGATTGTACTGAGAATTTTTTTTTCTTTTAGTAACCTGTGAGGCTCCTGATGGTAGCACATTGCAGCATGGAGACAGGAAAAAATATACAGATCTGAATCCCAAATCTGCTGATATCATTTTTATTATTGAAGATGAGGAATGTAATAAAATCATTCTAAATGATTTGGGAAATCTGGCAAGATCTATTGACAGAGAGCTAGAGAATGAAGGACTGAAGGACAATTTGTTTGGCGTGGTCGGTTTCGGTGAAGACATTGGAAGTCCGCAGATTTATACTGCTCATGGAAAAACATTCTTCAATTCAAGAGACATTGGTACAATATCGGGTAGATTCAAATTGGATAAAAAAGCGAAATCTTCCAGAGCCCTTGAAGCTATTCAACTAGCTGCGACGTTAGACTTCAGAAGCAAAACGGCGAAGTCGTTCATTTTACTATCCTGCTCACCATGCAGATATGATTATAGATCAGTATGTTTTATGATTTAAATTTCCTCTTGCTTTCTAACAAGTTTAGCTGTTATTTCCTCAGCTATCATTAATTAATAAATATAGTCTTAAAAGTCTTAATCTCTTACCATTAATTAATATAATGTCAAAAATGGACATTAAATAAGCTATATTATTTATGAAATGCGATTTATTTAAGTTAAAATGTAAAATATAAATGTTAAAAGTTAATTAATATAATACAGTAATCTTAAAATTATTAACATAATTTTAAATTTCACATTCAGATTTTCTCCACCAATGCAGATAAAAATAGTCATTATACGTTTGAGTTGAGAGATTTAATATAAATTACCACCTTTATTTATCGCACTGTAAGCATGAAATTAATGTTTCTTTCTTAAGATAAGTATTTAAAAATCACATATTTGAAAAGGCATCTATTGATGCTTGAGAATTAGTTAATTCGATTAGTAGTTTCGGTTCTATAAAAAGAAAGGGAAAAGCCTTAAAAGGTTGCAACAAACAAGGTGATAGAAATTTTTTCTTTAATCCATGTGAATTGCTTAATTTGCTTGAAGACCATCATTAAAGTATACGTATTTTTATTGAAAGAATTTAACAGCTTTCATGCTTCTAAATTAAATAGCCGATAAAAATCATATATAATCTCTGCAGCACTATTACTTAATATTTATAATAAAAGTAAAAATTAAAAATTCTTACTATTTATTGAGACTCTGTTATTCAAAGGATAATTCTGTAAAATTCCAGCACTACAATTTCATAAGAACGAGAAATAACAAGTGCTACATCAGCCAATCTTATTGATGGGCGTGAAAAGCAAAAGGCTAAGCAATACCATGTTACAAAGCTCATGTACCAAACTTCTCGAACCCTGCAATGGCCGAACAAAAATTAATCAACGTTTCTTTGATTCGTTCGAGGCTCAATTTCAAAATAAAATGGAGGGAGTGTGAAATACATTGCATGGTTTTTGCATCATATAATGACTATTTTTACTTCTGAGGTTGAATAGGGTTTTTCTTTCTACATTCAAAGTTTAATGCTTCTTTTCGAGTTCTTAAACAATAAAATGTATCTTTATAATATAATATAATCTGTATAATATAAACGGTATGTCGGAAAAGGTGCATTTGTGAAAAGAGTAATAGCATTACAAAATTTGTTCACTTAGTTACTACAGTTTGTTAGAATTTTCTTTTATCACTAATTGTAAGTAAAATTCATAAATTTTATGCTGTTTTTCTTCTATAGTTACTATATCCAGTCATTCAGCAGATTTTGCTCGAACGTGGAGTAAGTCTACATGTTATCAACAGTGCTGGAATTTCTATTCGAAAGAGTTCACTTAAAGAGAAGGAGAAAGATATCATAGGTAAATTTTCTAAACTCATGGTTAATAAATAACTTCAAGAAAATAATAATTTCTCATGTCATTACTTTATGAGACAAGAAGATAAGCCTTCTTTTCCTTTTTTGAATGAATTCATTTTAATATTGCTCACATTTAAGAACAAATATTTGATTTGTCTTATAAGGTATTTTCTTCCTGCTTTCCGCATGCCTTCGTGGTGTAAATGGAAGCATACTCGACGTGTATTCGAGATATCCATGGTTCGAGTCCCAGTCCGAGATTATCCACGGTCCGAGATTTAGCAATTGGGTCCTCTAATTTCCAGTCGACCTATCAATTGGGGAATATATAGCGTATTTTCTCCCTCCTTTCTGCATGCCTTCGCGGTGTAATTGAAAGCATACTCGACGCGGACGCGTATTCGAGCGGTCCATGATTCGAGTCCCGACTAGAGCACTGCACATGTTTCATGTCTCCTGCTTCCTTCCCACCCCAAAAAAAATTAATGACTGTACAATCTATTATTAATAACTATAACATTAAACAAAGGTATTTTAAAAACTATCGATTCAACTACATTATTTGGAATTGCTAAAAAATGTACTGAATGTTTTCTTTATTCAGCATTTTTAAAAGTTATTGTTAGTAGGTTTTTAAAATAACTCTTGCAGTAGAATCTTATGACGAATGTACTCATGTTCATTTGTTAGAGAATTTACAATCTATGATGGTTTTTGCCTTTATGCAATTTGGTGAACATAGACCAAGAAGATAAATATAAAAGACAAAATAAAACGAAACAGGTTCAATTGGCCTGCAAGAAGAAAAGAGGGGAGAAAAGAAAAGAAAATGATACACAACGTCTAGAGTAAGCAGTTTGTTTCATGAATGTTACCCTGGTAATCATAAAAAGGTTTCGTATGGAATATAAATGCCAAAAACAGTTGCATGTGCTATCCAGAGGCTACGCATTCTGTTGAGAAGGTTGTGTAACAGCTCCTATCAGCTAAGAAAAGTATTCTCTTAAAAGCATTTTTTGTTGCTGACTGGTTCGCAGTGAAGGGTTATGCATTGCAACTCAACGACTGTTGTAGAGCAACTGTCGAATATATGCAGAGATATCCAAAATTCTGAAGAGGTATGTCTGAAATGCGAGTCATTAGTAAACAGTACACTGACTTACTGTTGTAATTTCTCATCTAGATGTCAAGTATATCGTTATTTTATGGAATTTTTTATGCCGTATAATTAAGGGCATGCCTCGCATATTGCTTGATCTGAAATCGCCATCGACAAATCGTTCTAGATAAGATGATCATTGAGACTGCCAACAGTTCTCTGACCAGAGAATTTTCTGTGATAGCTGGATGGGATCAGAGAGCTGCTGACACGTAAGGATCTTGTCACGCAGTTGCGACGTAGGGATTTACCATATCTATACTGCCTTTAATCACAGCTACTCTGGGACCATAGCCCAAATGTATACATGACACTTGAAACAAGTTCTTGGGTACTTGGTCTTGTGTATGGCATACCTCTTTTCTGACTTTTTAATTTCTTCTTCATATTTTGCCGCACATGATATCATCACTATACTTTTTGTGTTACTTTTTTTTTTTTTTTTTTTTAATTTTAATATCGTCTTTTTCAACGGAAAGAAAATAACAATGCTTTCAGAAGCAACCCATTAATTAGTTTTTTAAAGCCCAATAATCCGAACTGACTTCAGTAGATATTACAAAATTTCTGTTATCAGGAACTTAAGCTTTCCTTTCAAGAAGGACAGGTGGCACTGGTGTTCGTTTCCTGTTTCAGTGAATATGAATCGAGTCGGTTATAAAATAATGTCAATTCTAAGATACCTGCAAATTCCTTAATTTGCATACTTGAGTGTATTATTTATAGTTTGGTGCGTATGGTTTGCATAATAATCGTAAAATTTATTAATTCATTATGAAATTGTTTTTTTTTCGAATTATGTGCTTAAAACATACTATGCATAATTTGCTTTTTTTAGCCTCTTACCAATAATACGCTTGTGCTCAAGAGTTTAATATTTAATAGCTAGTTCATGGTTAAAAGAAGTGATTACAGTTTTATTTAATTCAAAGTAGTAGATTTATGCTCGGAATACGGCTTTTCTATTCTTATTTTCTTGTTTTATTTTCAGCTAAAAAATATGAAAACATGAATTAATATCTTTTTTTTTTTTTCTTTCTACAGGTGTTGACCCCGATACAGTGTACCATTCAAAAGACGTAACTCAGAAAGATTTGGTTGGTGAACCCGCTCTGCGATCTCAAGTTTCATTTCCGAAAGATCTTTGCATTGCTTTATCTCAAGATGTCAATGGAAGCTATTTCTCAACTCACCCACTGAACAGAGCCTCATCTAGTGAAATTAAGAACTGGAGAAGTGTTTTTGCTCGAAAGTTTCTTAAAGCCATCCAGCTGTTTCAGTGCCAATGGTGTGATTGTACCTCTACTAGAGACCACATCCCTAATACTGTTTGCCAGCCTTGTGAAACAAAAAGACCAAGGCTGCCCTTTTCCGTATGTAAATCTTGTGTTCTTCCAAGAACAGTGGAAGGATTTTTGTCTTACGTACTTCATAATTTGAATGAATGATTTCGATACAAAAACTTATACATTTATTTAAAAGTATTCAATCTCGGAGAAGGACTAATATAACGTCACCAAATATAAAAATACATGAATCGTTCATAAAGAGAAATTCATAGGAGTTTTTCGTAACTGATGTTCATGAGATACTTTTGCTGCGATTTTAAAATAAATAAATAGTCTGATTTATTTCTACCAAAGACTAGAACAATTTTCAACCTTTTATGAGTTTAGCAAATTTTTGAAAGTTATTGATATTTAATTTCATTAACTCTGTGGGGAGTATACAAAAATTTCTGAGAATTTAAATTACAATTATCTTCCAACTTTTGCGAATAATACTTCTTGCAAATCACAAAAATTTATATATATATAGTGAAGGTTATTTAGAAAAGTGTTTTGCTAATTAACTGGCTAAAGAATTCATTGTAAATTAATAGTATTAAGTAAATTTATATTACTTACCTTTTCATTATTTTAAAGAAGGCATCTCATAAATCAGCATTATAATTATTAAAAATGAGCTATAGCATTATTAATGTATATTAGTCATTGTTTAAATATATAATATGAAGTTTAGAATCATTTAAAAAGTTCAGTTCTAGAATCATTTAATAACTTCAGATGCATTCTTAACTGAAATGTCATGTATAGCACAATTTGTTTTAAAATGCTCTAAATTGCATTGGAATTAAAAATCATTCAATAATAATCTTTTCTAAAATATCTTTTGCTTATAACTTTAAAAGAACTGAGAGTTGATATAAAATGTAAACTTAGAAAATGTGGTTTTAAGCGTTTAAGTGTAATAAACTTTTCATCTAATCATATTAAAGGAGTTCTTGTCTTACTGCACAATTCTCATTCTTTGAACTAGAATCATTGTTGTATTAATAATAAGAATTATTATGCGTCAATTACTGCATAATATTTTTACAACCAAAATTTCTCTTTTTATTTCTAGCTGTACCTTACGACTGACACCAAGTATTTCTGATGGTAATATCGATAAACCTCATGAGGCATACTTATTGTGAAGTGCGTTTAGTATTTGGGTTGGCTGGTAAAGGCTAAATCGTATTTTTTACTTTTATTTTTATTTTTTAAAATGTGTCCTGATGTGTTTCGAATGTGGCGTATTTTAATAAAACAATCAAACCACTAATATGTACTGATTCTTTTGTTTAACCTTTAATTAGTAATTTTTATTTTCAGAAAAGCTGAAAAGTTGCTATATTACAGCAAAATTTCATTCTTTAGCTTATCAAACTGTAGTTTAATTGCTTAATTCCCCCAAAAATGTTCTGATGAGAAAATGTTTAAATTATAGTGCAGTTTCCTAATGAGAATATGTTTAAAATTTAATTTTATTAGTTGAAATAGTGCCTTATTTACATAGCCTTGTTCTAGTTATATCATATTCACTACCATTTTGCCAATTTAAATAAAGTATAAAAATAAAGAATTTGTGTACCTGAAAGCAATTCTGGAAAGAATACTCTTCATTTTTATATGGAAACTTTCACTTGTTTTTATCTGATTTTTTTTAATAATTCACCTACAGAAGCTGAAAAGCGCAAAATATGATCTGTTATCATTGAAACATGTGCAAACATGCAATACTTCAAAAAGATATCTTTCAAGATCGTATGTTTAAATAAGTTAAATAAGATATAGAATTTCTTATGGAAAATTTCGAACGTAGAATTAAAAAAAATATTTTCTGAAATAAAAGGGAACAAATCGTTGAAGTAAATTGTGTGTATGAAATGCTTTTAAACAATTAGTGCTTTTCATGAAGTAAAAATTAAAACCCTGAAACACATTTACATAGAAGTTCCAGTATTTGATTTTTACATTCACTAGGTGTTTTATTCTTTTTTTTTTTTTTTTTTTTTTTTGGATTCCTTCCTTTGGAAAACCATGTCCTGCTAAATAGCCCCTAAGCGATGCTATGTAATCTTGCACAATTACGGAATTTTTGCATTCATTCATTCACATTGTTTTTTTCTTAGTAATAAATCATTTTTATATAAATCGGATATTTTTATTTTACATATAATGTGAAGTTTATAATACTTAATCTTCTGCTCTCGTCCTCGGGCTCCTGCAACACGCAAATAGAAAAGAACTGTAGCTGCTGCTGGCTGTTTCCCAGTTTTATGAGCGGAACAAAAAATAATATGCGCTTTCATGGCCACAGGAAAGCGAAGTGCAAAAGAATATGCCAAATCATACCAAGTTACCTTTCCATAAAAATTTTACTGAAGTAGAAAATCTTTTTTTTTTTTTTTTTTTTTTTTTTTCATTTTAAAATGCTTCACGATCCGGGAAGAAATTTTCACGGTATTTGGAAATGAATAAAATTTAGATTTTGTAGTGTCTTCGCAAAGCCCATTATGGTTATAGCTGATTATGTTAACAGTGAGAAATTTTGTTACATGCAAAACAGCTTCATTTGTTTTTCGTTCACTCTTCAGTTGCAGCTGCTACAAAATTAATAAAAAATAGGAAAATCATGTACGGCTTTTCTTGAAATATTTTAATATTTTTATTTATGTCATAGAAATTATACTATGAATTACATTAGAAGCCCAAGCTTTATTTTCATTATAATTTTCTTTATTCTTTTTACATTTCTTTCCGATGAACAAAACATTGTACAAGTACAGTGTCAAATTTGCGGTACATCTTCTTTCAGAAACAACACAGGAACCCCTAAAAGAAATATATAAATACATTATTTTCAGTAACAAATCTATGCATTTCTGTTACGATTTGATCAAAAATGTCTGTTACCTACAATTGTGGTCCCACGTATACATTTTAGTTATGTCCTGATTAATTAGATATAAAGACTTTGATAGAATCGTTTGATCAGAAAAAGTGTTCATTGCACTCGGATTTATATGTGGAAAAACGTGCAATACATATACTGATGATGTCATTGCTAAGAAATACATTTAAAGCAGACAAAAGTTATGCTAATTTTTTTTTTCGACGTGAAGCTGCGAAAACTGTTTGTGATAAACTTGAGCGACTGAGACTTACAATTAAAGATAATTGCTTCTCATAACCTCCATACACGGTGATCCTGGACGATAAATTTTTGTTGTTCAGGTCGTGAACTTGTCGGACGGTCTTTAATAGAAGAACCTGGACCTCTTACCCTGCATTCCGTATTCTGTATCAGCGTTTCTCAACCTGTATTTCCTGATATTCTACTAGTCTGCAAGAAATTGCGACAGATTACGCAAGAAAGGGTGATAAATAGCCAACCGTTTGTAAATGTTTCTGAATCATCTTTATACTTGAATGTACATATTTTAGCATGCATTTTTTACTGTCCATGTATGACATATTCTTGGAAAGTGTCATATATATATTACTGTATAGTTTTCGAGATAGTTTGTCATTAAGAAGTATAATAATGATAAATGTATTTAGGAATGTTAAGCGGAAGCCTGTGAGAAATCCTCTTATTGTTTCGTTTATTATTATTAAAATTATATCAAGGGTTCCCCAAGAAAAGAAAGTCATAAAATGTCATCTATATCTTTCGTTAAGAGAGGCATTCATTCACTTATTGCTGGTAAATGCCTCTAAAGGGACGAAGGTTTTAATTAAGGAGATCATATGGAAACAGCAGACTTTTATTTTCGATCATATCTTATGCATATAAAAATATATTTCAAGATGCAAAACAGCTGGGCATTTTAAAATTATTTAAATACTATCAGCATCTTGATCAAGCTATCTTTTATTATCCGAATGAAATAAATTACGCTCGTATCGGAAATAGTTAATGCTAGCTTCCTCTAATTCACCGATCATTCCCTTTTCCTTTATGTAAAGCTGCTTTAAAGTCTTAATTCGCTTTTGTTTCACTTGTATCATTGGTATGATCTACGACATTGAAGCGCATGGGATTCAAGAGCTAGAAGACAGTTTTAAGCACCCTACCCATGACAAGGTATGGAAATCAGGCATTTGATTTTTTATATTTCTGTGATGTAAAAAATCAAGATAAAATTTCAGATAAATAAACTAAATTAACAGCGCGATAACCCTCCTTATTTTAGACGTTGGTATTAATTCATTTTATGTTTCTAATAATGTTCACTTCATACGTAATAGACTAATTTAGATTTGGAAGATATATATGACACAACAATTAGCTTTAATCGTTTATTACAAAAGACTTTTCTGACTGTTGTGTAATTTGTAAGTGTTGCTCTTATGGATATTTAAGGCGGACTCTAGAATCTGAGTTTCTTCCGCAGTCATCGCCCCATCACCGTAGCTGTTATCAGAGAATTCATTTCTTTTAATAATGAAATTGCAGGCAAATTTTTATGAGCTTAGATCTTGAAACTTTGAAACTAACGCTGTAGTGAAACACATTTGTCAATGGCAGGAAAAAATACAAGTCCATTTTATCATTAATATTAAAAGTGTATAGGTATTATTTATTAACATAACTGTCTTCTCACCAGCTTTATTTATCTTCTCATAAACATGCTTATCACCGCATATCTCACTAATATTACTTATCTAATAACTTCAATTAATAATGCCGTAGTAGAAAATATATCCTTTGTTGCATCCTTAGTTAAAATAATAGCAAGAAATAGTATGAAGTACAATTTTCTTGATGTTGCTATAACAATCTGGGAAGAATTGTTGCTGTCAAACAATAGTTCCAAAGACTTCGCTACATGTTCAAAAATGAAGTAAAATCCTACATCTGTCAAGACTTATATGGTAGATTTTTCTGGTTTCTGTGCGTGTAAGAATTATGATCTAAATTTGGAACATTTTAAGGCAAGTTTGTTTGGTTTTATCTGATTGTTGATATTTTCTGTATTGTGACTCGGAATTTTCATATACTTGCAAGGCTTGCTGACTCTGACATTTACGAAGAGTTAAGAAAGGATAGCAAGTGGTGTATTTAATTATGGCAAAGCACACTAGGGCTATCTGCCTAAGAGGAGGGATGCCTTTTCGTGGAGGACTTTCTAAGGGAAACTGGCTCGTATACACGTTACACATGGGGAAAACCTCGAAAACACCCATGCAGCCAGCCCGTTCGCGGGATTCGAACCTCGGACCGAACTACCAGTGTTCAGCGACTTTACCGCTCGGCCGCTGGTGGGCGAAAGGATAACAAGAGCCTCGTGGTTTAGAATCTAAGAATAGAAGTAACATCATAGCACAATTTTCTGTAAAAGTTGTTACAACTTAAGCGTCTTTATGGTGTAAAACCTGAAGATGTTCCAACTGCCAAATTTACTACTGGCAACACTTATTCTTTCTTAACTGCACTTATAAAAATGAACGAGTTTAGATAATGTTTTTATTTTTTTGAAACATACATTTTTTGCAATTTTGTTGGAAAATTTTTAAAGTTTATTGAATTATTTATTCTGCATTTTTAGTTTAAAGATATCCATTGATGCCCATTCAGTGGTCGTTAATAGTTCTTTAAGCAAATGATTATTTTACTACTCTCTATTAAAAATGCTTCCTGAAATATTTCAAATGTTTACTACAAATAAAAATGTATCGCTATATGATTATATTTCGGATTTGAATTTATTTTAAATTATATAATATTAATTAAATGCATATGCGATTTCTTATTCACGGGAGAAAAAAACACCTCTTCAGAAAACAGCTACTCCCCCCCCTTCAAAATATTGTGATTCATTCTGGTCTTTTAATTTTCCTGTTGCTCCGGATTAAAAGTGGGTAAACAGATAGCTCTCGTGCGCTTCGCCTTAAATTAATAATACAATACAAACAATACAATCCTCCTGGGACCTCTCGGTCAAAACAGGAGTAGCGCTCAAGAAGACAGGCCTCGTATCATTTGCTTAAACTAAATAATGTAATCCGATCGTCATCCTTTTCGTTGACCAGCTATTTCAGACACAAAGTACACAAAACCTATCTGCCTATGGGGATGCTTTTGCGGATTACTTTCCAAGAGTACATGAGCTCATTCTCACGTTACATCTTTAAAAACCACAATAAATAAATAAATAAATAATAACATGCATATAGCCCGTTTGTGCGTAATCTAATCTACCAGCGGTCCGTTCTACCAATAGCAAGCACTAATCCTTTAAAAACCCATTGGATGCGGAAACAAAAATCACGAATAGCGTAAACAGTTTATGCCGTAACAATGGATAACTATATAGCGTCAAAATCAGTATTACTGTCTAGTATTTCAGATAATGCCAAATGTTAGTGTAACTGTTTCGGCTTTAAATGCAAATACTTTAAGTAAGTAAGCTCATACTGGTTCACTTAGTGAGATACTGAGGGAGCATAAGAACTTAAATTTTAATAGTACTTTTTCCTGTTTTAATTATTGCACAAAAATGCTTAATAATTGTTTTATTACGATTATGAAATATAAATTATGACAGCATGCTTATAAAAATTTACGTAAACTATATGCGGTACATTTAAACTAAATTTCCTACACAAATTAATTTGAAACGAGTTTTTTATATATTACGTTTTTTCTTTTCCGTTCTGCAACTGATAAATTACTCTCAGGCTAAAAGACAAGAACTCACAAAGGTTGATAAAATTAGTTTAAAGTAAGCTATGATAGTAGATTCGGAGAATTAGCTCAGAGATCGTGGTTCATTGATTCAGCTTTTCTTCTGAAAAATTCTCTCTTGAGGAAAATTAAAGTTTTGAATTTTCATTTCTAAAAAAATTTATGCATACATCTTTAAATTTTACTAATAGTAAATGTATTTTAATTATAGTAATTTTAGCGTAATTAAACGTCTTTTAATTACGCTAAGGGCAAATGCCATTTGGTTGCACTAATGGAGTAAATATTTGTGAAAACTACAAACTAGACTTCTTATTAAAATATAACATAGAGAAAAATTAATAAATGAATATATTATTTTTGAGTTACATATAACTTATTTTTAAACTACCTTGTTATATATGAAAGAAAAGGATATTATGGCGAACGAAACTGCAAGAGCTCTCAGCGGTGTTCGTTTTTAAAACCCCGTGGATGACTGTTGTATGAGTTCTAAATTTTAATTAAAGATAGTTCTGATTTCAGATTTCAGTAGTTTTCATATACATGGTGTCACAACGTCGTCAAACTTAATATGCTTGTTCAAGCAAGATTTACATAGGAACTTGTGTTCGAAATTGTGAACGGCGACCGCTAAAGGGCAATGTTCGTAAACGTAGAGGGGAAGAAAGAAAGGATGACGAAATAGGCGTTAATAATGACTTTTACTAAAGAACGTGCTTAAATCATGGAAGATGTTCAAAATTCCTACCATTTTCCACAATACATGCTTCACAACATCGATGTATGAACTCACGGGACCAGTTCAAATGGACTAAGTGTGTCACCGACACGTGCTGCTGCTTTTACGATTCTGGTGACTAAATCCATGTCTGATAGACAGTCTCGTACACAATGGACTTCATGTATAAATCCTCGGTATTCAGGTCGAGGGATCGTGATAACCATGCGACTGGTCCACCTCTATCAATCCAGCTATCAGGATATGTCCTATCAATTCCCGCATAGGGCTGCTAAAATGCGTAGCCACTCCATCATGCTAAAATCAAATGTTCCGGTGTAGAATAATAATCATCAGATCCAGCAATACTCTTTCTAAAAAGGTTCAGAGATTTTCCCATCGGGGCTTTGGAGTAGTAAGTAAGGTTCCGTTTACATGTCACAGATAATACCAGCCGAAGCGGTTATGATGCAGTTTTGTTGACTTCCGTAGGATCGTGTAAACCTTGAGTTTTCATACGTCCACAGGATCATATTGTGCAGATTCAGGACACCGTCCCGTGTAAAAGGAGCTTCATCGTGAAACACAATCCACGATGGGAAATCCCGTGGTGCGACCCCTTTTGTGCAAATATCTGCGTGTGAATGCAACCTGTTGGAGAAATTCGTCATCCCACAATGCCTGTACTGTTTGGAAGTAGAGGTGTAGCGTGTCCACGTGCAGTATGCGCATAACGGTGGAACGATGTACACGTAAATCGCATTCAGTTGCTCGGAGACTTGTTTGTTTCCTCTACAAGTGTTCCTGTTGTTCATGGATTCGTCTTAAATTCCCGTAGCACAGCTTCCTCTACGACAAGTGTGCCTGTAGTGCGTTCCCAATCGATGTAGAAAGATGCCTCACTCAATCCCATTGCCCTCTAGCGGTCGCCGTTCGCATTTTTGGACACACGTTCCTATGTAAATCTTGTTTATCATGGTATGACAGACCAGCATGTTAATTATGGCAATGACCTTTTGAGACACCCTGTAAGTGTTATATGAATCATTCTTCCAAATTCCATTTCGTTATCATCAAATACGGATAATGAACTGTCTTCTTAAGACGGTTCATTTCAATAACGGTGTCGTTTCAATTTATTGGAATAAAAAAGCTTAGGAGAACTGAATTCTGATGCTATTCATTTAACCGAATATTTTCGAAAAGACAGGGTAAAGAATAAATGAATAATACACTGTCTACAATTAAACCTACTTGTACATGAAAGGATTGCATTTTTTCGATTGTTGAGTAATTTATTATGCAAAAATGAACTCGAGTGGACAAATCAGCTTCAGATGTTTTACGCTATAAAAATTTATTTTAAAGCAAATAAAAAAGGCAGCGTCAGATACTGAGGATTGTACGTACCCCTTAAGCCTTAAAAATACTCAAGTTTTTATTAATAATGTACATTTTATGGCTAAACGAAAATAAACAAATTTCTGAATCATTTTAAATTATCATTTTTTATTTTTTATATTTTATCAAAATATTACACCAACAAGCACCAATTTTTACTACCTGGACGCAATTTGCTCTTTTTATTCAAATTAGAATATGATATAATGACTATATATAAGATATAGGTTTACCAGAAAGTTCCGTCTGGTAATGCAATTTCAAGTTTCAACTCGTCTTGCACACGTTCCTTTGAGACATGAATGGCTGTCTCTCTTTATCATTATATTTATCTTTCCTTTGTCATCGCCCTTCTAAATTAACTAAATCAAAAGTGTCTCATATCATTATTGAGACTTGATCATGTAAACATGGCTACATATAAAGTTCACTTGCGATATTGTATTTTCTAAGAATTCCAACAAAGAAGAAATGATACAGAAGTGTGTCGAAATTTAGTGAAAGTTTTTGATGGAAATGCAGTTTAGGAAAGAACGTCCGATAAATGCTCTAAAAAATTTGTAGAAAGTGATATCGACCTTAAGGATAAGCCAAGCTCTAGGCAACCATCTTTAATCGATGACGATATTTTCAAAAACATGAAAGAAAAAGATTCTTTTTTGACAACATCAGAAATTGCGTAAAAGCTTAATTCAGCTGCACAAACTATTTCTGACCATATTCATAAATTAGGATTGGTGTATAAATATTCCAAATGAGTGTCTCATGAGCTAAGTGAGATAATTTGCATGACTGAGTCGTCATGTCTCTGCTTGCTCGAAACAGAAAACAAACCCTTCTTGCACCTGATGACAACTAGTGATAAAATGCTGATTACCTACAAAAATTAAGGAAAAAAAGCATACTGTGAACCCGACAACCTGTCATCTCCCCTCTGCCTGAATAAGAGAATGTTGTGTATATGATGGAACGTCCAACGACCAACTTTTTAGTTTTTGAAACCTAACGAAAATCTCAATTCGGAAAGATACTATCAGCAAATGGATGATTTAAACAAAGCAATCAAAGAAAAGAGGCCGGCGATGTTAATAGATAGTACATCAATACTACATTATGGTATTGCCAGACCACTTATTTTTTTTGCAACTCATAGAGCCAGGCTGAGAATTTCTATGGCATCCGCCAGATCTCTTCCCTAGATATATATAACCCTCCAATTATCACTTGTTTCCGTCCATGCAAAGTTTTTTGAAGGGTGAAATATACAAAATTGAAGCATATGTCAACCAAGCACTACTTACGTTTTTCGCAAAGAATTATTAAGGATAAGGAATTATTTAGAAATAGTATTTACAAACTACCATCTCCTTGGTAAGAGGTCATAAGTAAGTGACAGAAATTATACTGTACAATAAATATTAAAAGTATGAAAAATTTGGCTTCCATTTTTTGGCTTCACAAACGAGCAAAATTTTGCGGAATGTTACACATCATATAATACAATAATGAAATTTTTAGACAGAAATAACATTTATGGTCTTAATGATGTAATGCAATAAAAACTTTCTTTTAAATAAATGAAAAAAACTATCGAAATGTAGTTAGTGAAATGAAACTTATGTCTTGTTGCTTAAATATCCACTTACAATAAAATCAAATTGAATTTTAGTCTACTTATAAACTTTCTACTACTACTAAAACTACTTATAAAATGCTTTTCTCAAGAAATGAGAACACAAAAAATACTAAAAGCTGATGTAGCTTTTCCTCAAAGCTCATAAAGTGTAGTTGTGTTTCCTTGTTCCTTCAGTTTTTACAATTAAATTTCTTCATTTTCATTGATAATCATATTATTTAAATAAAGTTTTGTAGCACTGCATAGTTTTAATAAGATTAGGAATGTTTCTTTATGTGAAACATTTAATCTGAATATAAAATTTACCTCCAGTGGAATAAGTTTACCCTCCATCTGTATCATCATCTTCATCACCTTTCGTTAAGATTCTTGTGAACCTTCGAATACTGATGTAACCTTCTTTATCAACGGGAGCTTCTTTCAAACAGATGTCTGCCTGAAATATGAAACAATTTTATTCAAGTGAGAAGATTTAAGCTCTCGTTTTGATACAAATTTACAACTTGGGCACTCGTTTCAAAAGCTTGGATAAGGCATAGCTGTCGCCTAAAACTATAAAGAAATAACTCTGTACCAAAAATAACACGTCTAACAACAAGCTGGTGATTTCGAAACGCTCGAAGTCTACTTATAAATAACGAATTAATTTTTTAAATCCTAAGCAGAGAATCTCTTTTCAAAGAAATTTTACAGTTTAATGAAATGCAAGAAAAGAACATGGAGAAAGATGAAAACCAAAAGTGGTTACATTGAAGCTATGCAATTGCCTGCATTCAAAAGTTTAATTCTACAAAAATGTAGAAAAGCTGAATGGAACTTGAAAGTTTTGAGTTCGTTCCTATGAAAGTTATCATACTAATCATATCTGCACGCACACTGAGTCAACAAATATAGATATGTACACTGCTCGAAAAAAAAAAGGGGGACAGTTCTGTATTTCCCGTTCTACTGGACCGATTGACGAAATTCAAATTGCGCTTTTCCTGTGTCGAAAGCGCGACTTCGGATATATATTAGGTTTATATATATAACATTATTCTATTATTCTAACATAGGAAACACTTAAAACACTTCAGAAAAAGTCCGATTTTGACGCAAATGCGGACATTTTCCTCATAAAAAGTATTCCGCATAAAAAGTTTTCCGAAGTAACATATATTTTTTTTCCATATTTTGAATCTACGACACTAATTATGCCTACATATTAAATTTTGCAACTTTTGGTGAGAAATGTAAAATTTATCTTGGCGGAATTTTTTTTTTCCAGTTTCCGCCAAGAATAATTCACTAGACGGAATTCTTAATTTATAGTAACCTTCTTACTTTCTTTATTTTTCATTGATGCATGGGGGAAAAAGGTCCATCCTTCATTCTTTCAAATAGTTTTAACAAAGTGCGTAAACCACATTTTCGTTATTATCGCTTATATTAAATACGCCAAATTTAAAAACGCGGCAAAATGTATATTCACGTATAGCTTAGGAAATTTTGAATAAAAACTCAAATTTTTTGCAGATATGCTTAGAAATACATCTACTTTAAGATGATGTTAAAAATTTTATAGGTTATAATACAAAAATGTTTTCGAAAAATTTATAAAAAATATTCAAAAACACATTTTTTTTAAATAAATAATACAAAATGTGCGAATTATATTTGGATTAAACCTAAATTTCGAATTCTGGAAGAAGGAATCAAGTAAGTTTAATAAACAAAGAGATATTAATAAATATATATCAAATTCAATTAACATTGAGGAGCTAAACATTTGAGAGCTAATTTTTAAAAAACTACTCGTGCGATTCTTACAAAATTTGGCAGTTTGGCGTAATTTGAGTCGTACAATCGAAATATGGAAAAAAATTGGCATGTCATTTCAGAAAAAGTCCGATTTTGTGTCAAAACACATATATTAGAACAATGCCATATAAAAATCTAATACATATCCTAAGTCGCGCTTTCGAGATAATGAAAAACGCAAGTTGAATTTCGCCACTGGGCCCAGTAGACTGGGAAATAGAAAACTGTGCCTCTCCCCTTTTTTTTGCGCGCGCGCCAGGTACAACACCACTTGTGACAGATTTTAGTATGCAAATTGAATTCAAGTATAATAAAGATGATGGATGCAGTCTCTATATTAATATAACTGTTGCTTGAACAATATGCATCTTACAACTTTTTCTAAAGGAGAAAACTTTGGTGCATTTTTCTTTCAATAGTAAATAGAGTATGAAAGCTATTCTAAACAAATGGTTGTCTTAAAATTTGCATGCATGATAAATCCTTTTAGGAAGACGAAATTTGCTTTTCAATCTTTTTTTATTCGAAATTTTACAGATTTTTCAATAAGGAAATAAAAGAACAACGAATCGTCTGCCATCAGTTTGCTAAAGAGGAGCTGGTGATCAAAATTTTACTAGACTAATATAATATTTGTCTTTTTTGCTAAATAATATCTATGAAAATTTTGCTAAATAATGATTAAAAGACTGAGGTATTTTCACTCTCCTTTCTGCATACCTTCGTGGTGTAACAGTAGCACATTCGGCACGTATTCGAGAGGTCCAGGTTTGAGTCTCTGCGAGGGCAATGCACATTTTTTACGTCTCCTGCATCCAAAAAAACGTAATGTCTCTACAAGTGGCGCCCGAACTAAAAGGTGGCGAACACTAATTCGTCACTATCAGGATTTGACGATTGGGTCCCCTTATCCCCAGTCGCCCTTTAAAAGGGGGAGTATATAGGGTATATTCTCTCCTTCCATCATGACTTCGGGGTGTAACAGTAGCACACTCGGAGCGTATTCGAGAGGTTCAGATTAGAGCCCCGGCGAAGGCATTGCTCATTTTTCATGTCTGCTGCTTCAAAATAACCTAATGATTCTACAGATTCAATGATTACCTAAAGTTTGTATACTTCACTAAGAAAGTATTACTATATTTTATTCCATCTTGAACAAAGTGATGATGCTATAAGCAAAATTTTGTACTTGTGCAAAGCAGTGTAATGGATTTTGCCAACGCTTAAGATAACTCTTTTATTAAAGACTCGAAAACTGAAAGAACATTCAGTCGATATTACTACCAAAATTCTACCAAAATTCTCATTCTTCTGATATTTTAAATCTGATTTGCATTTCACTAACTTTATAAAGATAATTTATACTTTATAACTTTATAAAGATAATTTACTGCTGAAACAAACTGTAACCTCTTAGCTCAGCAACCTAATTCATATGCGACAAGTTTTCCATTCAAGCAAAAATATATATATATTATTTAATCTTACACTTTTAGTGATACAAATGAGTAAATCAGAATAAAGGACTTGATATCAAGTAAAAGGAACTATTATTTGAAATTACATTTTTTTAGATATAAATAAGTAAATAGTCAAAAATAATTAGGAAACAAATCAAACTTATCACATACTTCTTCATCCGTAAATTTGTCTCCACGCTTGCGCAAAGTATTTTTCAATCTACAAGAATAAATAAAAACCAAGTCTTTTTATTATAAAATAGTAAAAAATTGAAAAAGAAGCATTGCTTATTTGCGGATACTCGTTCGAGTATACCAGAATTATCAGAAAAACATGTTAATTAGTTTTATATACTTTGTCAATTTTGATGAGAAGTAATAAATATATAAAGTAATTAGCTAAATAAACTTACACTTCTTCCTTCATTTTCCCATCACCTTCGTCGAAGATTGAGAAAGCGGACATGATAACATCTTCTTCATCCGTTCCTAAAATTTATGAAATATAAGTTCAGTTCACATTTTCAAAACAAATACGAATTTTTACTAACTGCTTGAAATATAATATTAACAATTATTAGGTAAAGTATTTAACAATGAATAAATAATCTAGAATAAACACAAAGTATGTAAATTCAGAATTTTTTTTTAAATAATTGAGAGCATTTTTCTCTAATTAGAAATGTAAACCAGTTGATGGGAAAGATTTTGAAAGTTAATCATTTTTATCAAGAATTGATTTCAGACGTCATTTCATAACCTCTCATATTGTAGAATCTTCGAAATGAAAAAATTAAATGCATAAATTAATTAGAAAAATACCTAGACAATTGCTTTTCTAGGTTAGTTGTAAAAAAGCAGAAATAAAAAGAATAAAAGAAATTTTTGCCTTTTTTTAATAGTCATTTTGTTCCTATTAAAAACGAAAGGATATATTTAAAACTGAAATAACTGCAGAATCTTTCAATTCTTCCTACATATTGAATAATACAAATTCAGTCCATTAATAGTGTTGTTATCCGTTTGCTGAGAAATTAAAATTTCGGGTTTTAAAGAAGGAGAAAAAACTTAAAGTAAAAATTTTGGTTAAACTCGCATGATGTTTCATTTTGACTGATTATAAATAAATGAATTCTTGCTAATGTTTTCTTTTGAACAAGTTATTCAGGAACGAATTAAAAATGAAAAAAAAAAAAAAAAAAAGATCAATGTGTAGAAAAATTAATGTTCAGTTGACAAAAGAGAATTATGCAGAAGAATTAATGTTCATTTAAAAAAATTAAAGTACAATCACCCATGAACACATTTTGATATACTAAAGTTGCCTAAGGCTGACCAACTAAATCATATAATATAATCATGAAATCCTTTTGAAAATTTTTGAATTTGGGAATGACTTAAATATAATTTTTAGTTATAAATTATTCAATACTCAAGAATGCGTTTGAGTAAAGTAACAGGCTCAATATTATACATGCACTTTTAAAAAACCGTTTAAATAAAACACAATAGAAACTAGTCCACACAAATAGAGACTGTACGCAAGATACTTCAAAAAAAAGTAAGCGCTTTTAACACAGAAAATTTCCATAAGACCTCATTGAACTCCCATGACCCAAGAACTACACGCACCACGGTCTATACTACAAATCCTGTTTCGTGGTATAGACGCAATGCAGAGAAAAGCGATGACTAGCTGAAGTGAATGAAGAGTTCCTAATGATGTCATTTTTGACGCAAGTAACATTTGCCATCCAAAACGGAAAATACTACATTGACTAGAATTAAACCCAAGAGTAATGATTTCGTAACCAGATACTTAAACCTTCAGATCATAAATGCAGTTTGAGTCCTGGTGTGTTAAGGGACGTAGGAAGGAACACGTTTTCGGAAGGAAAGTTTCTGTCACAACCGTTATCACCAAGCTGCAGCAAAGATGAGCTGCTGCAGTAACTCAGTATCTCTAGTGATGCCATCAAGTAAAGCGAATATCATTCGCTGCTTTATACGCCGAATCCATAAGCTTGGGAAGACGCCGATAACATTCTTTTCGTTTTACCATTCTTTTCGTTATACCATCAGAACAAAAATTCACTTTTAATATGGAAGCAAATCGAGAAAATGGCTTTCTTTCTTACCACTAAGTAGGACAACATTTCTTTCTGAAGGCAAATTTTGAATTTTTCAATTTTCCCAGCCTGCTTGGTGAAACCACTAACAAGTAGAGCAGACTGCTATACACCTAATGAAAATGAGATCTTTGTATATGACTTTCTAGGGAGGACCCGTTTCCACTTTGTCTATCGAGGGCTCGTTTCCCCATTAAATGCGTTCTACTATGAAAACGCCTTTGCAAACAGCTCTTCGTATGGAATCGAGCCTCTGTTCACCTGTCTTACCCACTCACCTCCTGATGAGCCAAGCCGATTTCTGGACTTAATTACATTTCTTCAGACTTAATGTCCAGAAGTGGACAAAACTTCAGTACAAAATTTCGGCAAACTTACCTGATATCCTTTCACCAAAAATTGTAAGGAACATTGTAAAGTTGAGAGGGCCTGGAGCTTCTGCCAGCATTGATTCCAAATCTTCGTCATCTACTTCGCGTCCTAAGAAGACAAAAACTCATATAATTTCTCAGCTGATTCGCAGATTTATTTAATTATTTATTTGGCAAATCTTATGGTGAAACAAAAAAAAATGGAAAAAATTTGGCATACAAACGCTGTTTTTTCTCTTATTTGCCTAAAAGGCACGCACAACCATGTTATTTTCTATCCGCTGACAATATATCCGCGGTTTGCCAGTCCCCGAAATATTCTTGTAAATGTAAGGCAATAAATGTAATGTAAGTCGCAAGCACTCACTAAGCGGAAGGTACTGCAATATGATGAAACACATAAGCCCAAATATGGTCAGTACAATCTTTCTATAACCATTCCGATGGTGTGAAACCAGATACGTGTAAACGATTCGGACCAATGATCGATTGCTTACGCACTGTTTCGATGGAAACCCTGGTTTTTATTTATTTGGAATTCCCTGGGGTACTAAAGAGTAGAAATAGAGCATTTTTTCATTGCTCTAAGAAACATCCTGTAACAGCAAACAGTAAATGGTACAGCATTTTTGCATTGTTGGGCCATCTCTTAAGCTGAAAGTTCTAAATTCTTTATTATGAAGTATATAAGAAAGAGAGAAGTATGTGCGCTGTAAAAGAACAATATAGCTTATAGTATACTATTATTGCATTAGAAAGTAATGATAGTAAACTGTAAGCTGTGTTTCTGTGATTTCAACAAATTCTTAAAATACATTATTCCATGTAACTCTGACAAAGTTGCTTTGTCAGCAAAGCAATTTGTCAATTAAAATTCATATTTACCTATGTTACACGAATAACGCTATATGCACCATATTCGGTATTATTCCTGGTTCCACGTAACATCATAGGTCTTGGAATGTGCTACCTGGAGATCCGAAATAACTCTTCATAGTCAGTTTAGCGCAGCTAAGATTAATGTTTCTTGATACTTAAGTGAACACCCGTCCTCCGAGATTTCTACTACTTATTGCTTGTCATGTACGAGGATATTTCATTACATTCCTCGACCAGGGATCTTGATCACTGCTTTTAAGTTGCTTTTTTTCAGTGATTTCATTGCAACCTGCTCTAAAACTGCCAGTGCAGAAAATTGTTCCCATCAGTTAAACAACATTCTAATGTAAGTAAACATTTTAGAAAATGCATGTTCATACATTTTTTATCAGCTGTTGGAATCAAGTTTCTTAATAATCTCCAAAATCTATACGAAATTCGAAACGAATGAGTTTACAGAATGCATGAGTTTTATCAGCATTTACTTCGTATTAATTCCAATTCATTATAATCCCATTTAATGCTAAAAGAAAGAATTGCAAATGATTAATGATTATGCTCAGTATTTGTTCAAGTGTTCTTTTATATTTGATACATAATACTTAATTAATAAATATTCTATTTCCATTCTTAGATTAAAATAGAAATCAAATCTCATACTCAGAGAGACAGAGAAACTAGTGATATGAAAATAAATATTTCTTATAATACAACATATCTATGTCATCTGAGAGAAGAAAGTTTAAGTGTTTTTAACACCGCGAAGAATGCGTTATTATTTTCATTTTGAGAATCTCATGCCCTGGCAGAGAAAAAATATACACAGTTGCATCTTTAATAATTAAGTCTTCTTTGTTAACTGCGAATTATGCATCACTAATTTACAATGGAACAACATTAGCATATGTATTTTTTACCGTACTAACTATTTTCTACTAGCTACTAGCAGTGCTAATTTTGAACCGCTTGTTTAAATGTATGATTTTGCCTTCTGTACCTTAAATTTCTGGAGATTAATTCTTAAGCCAATAGGATAATCCTAAGTGTTTACCTTAAAATTATTTCATGTCCAAACCAGAATCTCACTATGAAGTGCAGTTTGTATTTTTTAAAAATTTCTTAAATTTTTGTACCTTTTAGTGTTTTTTTTAAATTGTGAAACTCTCCACTAAGATGTTAAACTGAAATCTCAAATTAAGAACAATGTCGTAAATCGCAATCTCAACAGAACAATGTCGTAAAAATCTTCAGCGCTGAAATAAAATCTAAATCCATAAATGTCCAATCGTAATCTATTTATGACATATTCTTATTCAAAATTTCTGCTGCGGTTTAGACCAGCGAACCTTCAAACGGTTTTGATCAGGTACTCATAAGACGAAACTCATTATAAGTTGTACCCCATATAATATAATGTAACATATTATAATATAATGAGCTATTATTATATATTATATTATGCACATTAAAGCCGGTGATCTTATAAAATTGAACATCAAAGGTGCTACTTAAACCAAACACAACGGTCGCTGATAGACCTAGCATTCACATGATGCATGAGCATACACTCACAAGTCATCGTGAACCTACGTTTTTGGTGTACCCTCCAAGTATCATTTTGGAGACCACTGGTTTGGACCATGACTTCTACTATTCCAAGATCTGGAGGTCTACGTTATGTTTTATCTCTAATCATCCCTCGGCTAAGGCAGAAAAACGTTTTAAAGCTACTTTGCAACATAAAACTGTGCAAACTTAAATCAGGTTTAAACTTAAATCACTAATCTCAGTGGCTGTTTCAATGAAATCATGTTTTTCGAAAAGAAAATTTAGCATTTTTTACAAATTAAAATGCTTTTCTCAGGAGTAGTTCATTTTTACTGCTTCTGCTGCATTAATATTTTCCAATACGATGTAAAGAGTAACAACATTTTTTTTATTTCCTTCAGACGGTATGTACACGACTCTGATCTCCGCTCTAAACTTTACACAACAAATTGTTGAAATCCATCATTGCAAAAACTGTGCTCTTTCTTATAATACAACATATTATAGTATTTTCTAGTTCTCTCCTGATGCTACAGATTATTAGAGTGATGGCAGAGATTAGGCTTTAAAGCAGATTTTGAAGGATTTTATTATTTTAATTTCATTTTAATTTTGCTTCTAGAGTGGGAAAAGTTTTAACTTTTGAAATGCCCTTTAAAAAGGTTTCTCAAATAATTGCTTACTCACCCAGCAAGTCAAATGTTAATTTTAAGTCTGATTTCGTGATAAATCCATCTTTATCCTGATCTATCAACTGGAAAGCCTGCAAAAGAAAGATGTGTCAGTTGTTATATTAAATCATTCAGATTAAGAAGGATTCAGTCACATAAATTTATAGTTTAACATCATATCGAAAACATTGTTTTTTATTTTAATTTAGTGAACGGAATTATTGAAAACATTATATATCTTTTTCAGAAACTGCCTGTATCAAGGAACATTTTTACTGTTGCGTTTTCCGTAAGCAATTTTTCCTTTCTTTCCGAGGTACTTCGTAGTGAGTAATTAGAAGCATGTCAGGTTTCCAAGATCTGGAGGTCAAATCCTGTCGAGCGCATAGATAATTCTTCATGCTTCCCGACTTCCTGAGTCTACTATTCGAGCCCGAATTAAGGAGCATGCCGGACGATAATTCATTACCACCTGGGTTCCTTGCTTTCTAGTCGCCCTTCAAGAGAATGAGGGTGTAAGGAATGATCCTGCACATCTTTGTTGTATAATCGGAAGCACGTCCGGCTACTTCAAATCCTGGCAAGCGCATTGCTGATTTTGTTTGTTCTTGCTCCTAAATAAACCTAATGACTCTACAACACTTCGGTCTTTCTTATATGACCATTAACTACAGAACACTGATAAAAAGAGTTTCTACAGTTATTCTGAAGATAAATAAATGCATTTTGAAAGCATTCTGAAGAGATCTTTAAATTAAACACAGAACTGTTATGAGAAATAATATATATAATCATAGAAAGGTTATAAAATGGGACGAATCAAATCAGAGAACTATCAAGAAAGCTGAATAACAGTAGCATTATCTTGAAACACTAAAATAAAGCATGCAACTCTTTTCAATCATTCACTTTTTAAAATTATTCTTATATTTCAAAAATTCTAATTTGTTACACGTTAGCCTATAGAATTACATGTTAATATGTGCACATGTTAATAACTTTTTTTAAAAGCTATTATATATTTACAACTAAACATTCAGTAGCTTAATTATTTTTTCATTATTTAGTAATGTATTTATTGCTGTTTTATTATTATTTAATTACACGTTTATTAGTTATTTGATTACTATTTAGTAACATTTTTAGCGAATGTTTTAGTAAAATTTAACCTCTATTAACTAATCCTTGAAATAACTGTTTAGCAGCAATTACTAATGTTCAGTCTTACAAATAAGTTAAGACCACTTTTTGCTGAATCACGTGCGAATAGAATTTTTATGCAACATTCTAGAATTTTAAGTATAAGACTAGAATTAGAATAAGAAATTACCTCTTTAAATTCTTGAACTTTCCTCTGGGTGAACATGGCAAAAACATTCGAACCACACCTCTGCGCTTTTTTTTTCGCAGATGGTTTCTTTTCCGGTGGGGGAGCTGGAGCGGGAACTTCGGGTTCAGGGGCAGGAGTAGTTTCGTTCTGCGGAGGAGGGGCAGAACCCTCTTCAGGTGGGGAAAGTTTCAGATTCTGGAGCAGCTTCCGTCTTCTTCTTACTCTTCTTCTTCTTTTCCTTTTTCTCTTCGTCACCCTAAAATGCAAAATTTCCTTTAAAGTTTTTTATATCACAGGAATGAATTGCAACGATAGTGATAAATTTTCATTTTCAGATAGAAGGAGGAGGGAGATATTGATAATAATAAGTTTTTAATGACACGCAACTTTAAGTCATAGATATTTTAATCTTATTTGGTCTAGTTAAACTACTAAAGAATGATAATTATTGAAGGTATTTTCAGGTTTTGATTGAAAAGGTTTCTGAAAAATACGACATCATTTTCAGATTGCTTCATAAAGTATCAAACTACATCTTTAAATAACTTGCAATGCACCAGTATGCAATGTGCTTTTTAGGTCATGTTACGTTATGTAAAAACAAAAGAATAAACCCAAATGCTTGTCATTATCTGCTGATTAAAATTTAGATGCCAAAGCAAAATGCTTTTTAATACACCTGTTAGAATCTGTTTCGTAGGCCATAGTGACCTTGATTTTTAAAAAATCATTCTTTATTTGTTACTAAAGACAAATTTAACATAATAAATGTGTAGAGACATTAGGATATATTTGGAAGCAGACGAGATGAAAAATTAGCAATCGCCTTCGCCGGGAATCGTACCACGGACCTCTGGAATACCGGTCCAGCGTGTAGAACCACTACACCACGAAGGCACGCTAGGAAAGTGGGAGAAATACCTTATAAACGAAACAGTAAAATGTGAAGTAAATGCGTTTCCTTCACATTTACTTTGCTGGCATTTTTCTGCTTGACAAAATTTTCGCTGGTACAGCTATTTCTGTGCTTTAAAAATTTAAACAGATGATTTCTGTTCCTTTTCATAGCTACCATTACTCTATCTACAATGCTGCATGTTATTAAGGTACTTCATCTTCTTTTTTTTTTCTGTGCTTGCAAACTCATGGCTTTCATCAAAGAAAGCATAATAAGTGCAATAAAATCCAACTGTTTTGTCAAAATTGTCAGCTTTCTAATAACATCATAATGCACTGCAGAAAAATTCAGTTAAAACATATGTTATTACATCGAAACTTTCAGACACCACTAAACTATATGTAAGTTAAGATTTCGATTAAAAGCTATTTTGTGAGTAAAGAATGAAAATTTTTCTCGTTAAATTATATCATTTCATCAATCCATTTCAAGCCATTTAAAACCTAACAAACCATTTTAAGAATTTCTTGACAACAAAAAAGAGTATTTTTTTAAATAGTTCAGAGCCAAAGGGATATTAAACAAGGTCTTTTGCTTTTAAAATACAAACATATTTTTCTATTAAGTTTGCATTTTATTATATTTAATAAATTTGCACTTTATTATATTTAATAAATTTGCATTTTATATGATTTAACTAATTAATGAAACTTACTCTGGCTTCGAGAAAACGTACGTTTAGCCAGTTATAATATGTATCCACAATACATATTATAACTATAACATGTATTTAATGCTATCTATAATAAAAACGTATTTCAATACTCCATCGGTATTCGCAACGGAACCTAACATTCTTTCTGGCAAAACCCTAGATATGTTACTAATTACAACCCAGAATTTTAGAAAGTGGAATTTTCAGAATCAAATATTCAATAAAATCTTTCCAAACTCAGCTTGCAGTAAATCACACTTGCTTAGACTTAAAAGTCTATATTTTTCTTATTTTCCGGGGCTTGAGTTACATATATCCAGGATCACAGAAAACGAATACTCTATAAAAACACATTCTTTAAAACTGTTAAATGTATTGAACTGACTAAAATATTAAAATGCTTAAAAAGCTTCGACGTCTTTATCTTTGCTTCGCAAGGTTCCATATTTTGCATTTGTCACATAGACTATCTCTAAACTGTATTCGATCTGCTTCCAAAAGACTGAAGTTTGATGTTACACAAGCGATAGGTATTGCAGTCCTTTACTGTAGCTACTGAACATCAAGAACAAAGCCAACCCACTTTAATATAGTCCTAACGATCCGTCCTGACATAAGCGACTCATAAGAAAGTCCCGAACTCCCTTCCATCGGATGCAATAACTATTTGATAATGTACATTATCATCAGCTCTAAAGAATCGTTAAAATGCGAGTCTACTATATTTTTATTGTGCACAATAATCTTATTTTATTCCCTCAAAATAAGTTTGTCGTTGAAAGGCAGCACACTCTAAGACTATTCCGAGGCGTTGGTTAAGATTAACAGAAAAAAAATAGAAGTGGATTAATTAGTCTGTCCTCCTCAATCTTCGAAGGCGTTAGAAAGCGTCTCGTTTTCAACTTTGCATATCCAGCAAAGCCTTCATTGTTTCACTATTCATGTTAAAATCTTTATAGTGCACTCTTATTTAATAATTTGAGAATAATATCTTCTTATAATATTAACATTACTGAAGACTAAGTAAATTCTAATCGATAACCTTGTAATAGGGAGACCGGAAAGTAATGTCTTTTCTGCGCATGTCGACAACAACATGCTAAGGACAGAAGCAAATCCATGTCAAACACTCTTAACCAACCTTGGTCGACCATCCAAGAACATTTAAAGCAGAATTGAAAATTAAACAAAGGTGTTCGAGTTATGGGTCCTATGCGATAATCCAAAACGCAAAGGACAGTTTTAATAGGGGTTACAAAGGGTTTGCATCCCAAAAGGCGCTTCTGTGTGCTTGGTGGAGTATTCGCGGAATTGTTCATTTTGAATTGCTGGAAACAATTCGATCGGGTGAACCAATCTTTAATCGAAAAATATCCGGCTATTGTCAGTCTAAAAGGCATAATTTTGCAACACGACAATGTAAGACCGCACAGTGCAAGACGGACACTGGAGAAAATGAATTATTTGGGATGGGAGGTGCTGCATCACCCAACATACTCCCCCGATATCGTACACTCGTATTTCCATTTATTCTGATCCCTACAACATTTTCTTAGTGCCAAAAAATTTGCAAATTTGAATGATGTCCAAAATGCCATCTTGAGATATTTTACTCAAAAACCAATTGATTTATATCGGTCTGGGGATTGAAAATCTGCACACTAGATGGCAAAAGGTTGTTGACAACGAGGGTGATAAAATAAAAACGTGTCAAAAATTTATTTGTGTGAATTTAATGTAAAAAAGCGACATTACTTTCCGGTCCCCTATTATTTATGAGATTAAATCATGCACGAATACTCAAAACTGAGGGCTTTGAAATATTTTGCCAGATTTTTCTAATATTGTGCACTATATGCCGAAGCTAAATTTTTAATCTTTCTTTAAATTAACTATAGTCGGATAAGAAAAAAATTATCTTAAAAACATTTATATTTTGCAACGATATTTCTTCGCGTAACACAATAGTATTATTTACTACAATATTATTATTTTTATATAAGCAGAAAAAATAGACATATCGCTAAATTTAAATGTGAACTTGGTCTGAACTCCAAATGATTTAGCATGACAATAGGTAACGGTATCTTTAACAGGTACGATAAAAGTATCATTTATTAGAGAAGGAGAAATTTGGCATCTGAGGTGGAAAATTTTCAATTCATTTGAAAGTAACTTAACTAAAATAAACTTTTTGTTTCTTTTTACATTCTTATTACCAATCTATATTGTTCTTAAATGTAGCTATTTTGTTCTTTTAAAACCGCAGCCAGCAATACTTAAGGTGAACAGCATTTTGGTCACACCACTCTTCGTTATAATTTAAATTTATTTTCCTTCATAGTAAAGTAATTTTCAGAAAGCTACTGTTGTAAGCCTTTTTTGAAAGATTAAACATTTTGTCTGCATTAATTTTACATGCATACTAATAAACGTTTTACACTTTCTTATCCAATATTTTGAATGAAATTCATCAGAATCTTTCGAATGATCTAAAAACGAAGAGATAACTTTACACATTCACAACGATGCAGAGTGAAAGATAGTGTACTCCAAGTTGCTATATCAAGTAGCACTATATTTTAGCTTCCAAATCTGTTGCCATGATGGCTGAAATTTATAAATGCAGTATTTCTCTAAGTACATAGAGATAAAGTAATTATGACAAGTATAAATAAATCTCTTAAGACTAAATGAGAAATCATGTTTTGTAACATTTCTTATATGCCCTTCAAATCCAAATTTGATGCTAACTACGAAATAGTACAATAATCCGGTTGAGAATAATCAATATATCAAAGAATCAAATAGACATACATATACTGACTTTTAAATATATGCTGCACTGCAGTGTGTAGATATCACATGAAGAATGTGCGACCGTGTTTTCCCGGCTGGCATAATTCAAAACGAGTTCTGGAGATGGGATTGGCATAGTTCTGCAGTATGGTTTTCGTTTCATCAAACGGTCAGTAACTGATTTATGCAACACCATCAGTATTATAGGGCCATACATTATACTTCCTCGAGTTATTAATTACTACTAGTTTGCATGAAGAAAAAAGACAGAAAATTTTACTTACCATGATTTGAACTTCGACCGATAGCAATGAAGATGGAATTAAATCCGTATGCTTTTTCGAATGCGATGCTGCGATTCCAAGGAAACCTTTAAATAGTCGCCTTCTCATTAATTAGGTCGCATTTTGAATGGGTTCACTTTCACATAAACTCAACTAAATTTGGAAACTTGTGGGCTGCAGCTTCGAATGACAGGCGGAGAAAGCACAGGAAAAAAGTTCATTTTATTTACATTAAGCTACAAATACGAGTCGAGGGGGGGGGAAACGGATTTTCTTTTCCGTTTATAAACGTTTATTGCGTTTTCATGGAGAAAGAGGAAGGATTCTAACCCAAAATATAATATTACGAGCGGAGTAGTAGCAGAATCTGTGTTTTCGCTGAATAGCGACTGTTCAAAAGAGCACTTAAGTCATCGTAATGATAATCAATATTCATGAATAAAACATTAATGTTTAATAAGTTTTAAGTAAAAATGCAAAATTATGCTTTCTTCGACAAATTTTAATGTAAAGTAATTATCATATGGAATGAATATCTATATTATGGATTTTTTTAATATTAAAATTATGCATATAAACACAAAATATTAGAGAATGCGTAAAGAGGTTTAGTAGTTTTTGTAATTCATACTTACTTAAGAACGTCATGTACTCAAAACGCTCCCGGATATTTTTTTCTTTTTAAAGCACATGAGGTGTTTAAGAGTGGATTACATGGATAATGGCAAATCCCTCTGTAACTATCTGCCTAAGGGGAAGGATAACTTCAGGGAGGACTTTTTCAGGAAAACTGACTCGCATTCACGCTGCGCACAGAAAACAACACGAAAATTTCCAAGCAGCCAATCCGTTCACCAGGATTTGAACCAGCTGCTACAGATAATAAACATTCTAATGGGTGTTATTTTAATTTTATTTAATTCCTAGTTTTCCGTTCCATTTCAGACAAGTTTAATATTACTAGACATTAGTGATTTAAAATAATATTAGACATTACGGTGACTTAAAATTTAGAGAAATAGTTATAATACGTTCGAAATGCGGCAATTTATTACGATTCCCGAACTTCCATCTAAACTAATAGCGAAAAATCTTTAAGAGTTAAACAACATCAAACTTGAGGGAAAGACTTACTCTTAAAATTATATCCTCCATTCATAAGATTCATCAAACAAATCAAAAGAAGCCTATTCTTTTGATAACAAGGGATCATTTCATATTTTACAAGCTATCTTTAATACCAAAAGATTTGCATATTTGCATATTTTAAATTGTGCAATTCTCCCATATAAAGACCCTTCTAAAGACCTTTTCTCCCTTTTAAAAACCGTATTGGAAAATACAAAAAAGTTTAAGTAATTATAATTTGATTAAATTGAAAAAAATAACTCTCTATCAATATAATTCTAAAATGTTGTAATACATCAATTACTAAATGACAGAAGTGAGATCATATGGTTTAACTGCTTTCTTAGCAAACTCTATAAGGCTTCCAATTTTTCAATTTTTAAATTAAATTATCAACGGATTATAAGAAAGAAATTAAATCATCAACGGAATTAATATCAAAATGTAGAATTTATATCTAGAGTTCTTTCTATGGAAGTTTTACGTTGGAAATAATGATTCATCAAAATTTAAATCTTTACCTTTTTATTGTTAAAAATGGAACACGTTGAAATAGCATGCAAGTTCGTAATAATAAAAAAGTTATTCTTTTCAATGCAGGGCTGTCATTTTTTTTTTTTTTTTTTTTTTTTAATTTCCAGGGGGAAATGTATACTAACATGAAATAACTGTTATTCGACTAACAAAGAGCTACTTAAATACCAAATGAAATTTACACATAAAATGCCCTGAACAGATCTCGGAAAGGGTGTTAACATTATGAATAAATCCTAAAAAGGGATCCTAAAAAGGTGAGCCACACAAAAACTGAAGAAAACCAATACATAAAAATGCTTCGAAAGCATTCGTTTTATGGTTTAAAACATATGCCATGATAAATTCTTATATTTTGAGAGTCATAGTCCTATTATTCGTTCTCTTAAAATTGTCTCCATATAAACCTGGGACTCATGGACTCATACTGAGTTTCATGACATTCAGTTACACGGGTCAACAGTTATTTCGTTACAGAAGAATATTTCAATGATTTACGATACATATTTTGGTAATGAAGTTAGAATCATTGTATCAGGATCCATTGTTTTCGTAGCAGAACTTTTCTAGTGCTGTTGTTTCATGCCAAAATTCGATTTGGCTGTCTTTTTCAATCGCGGGTTAAACAAACTCCAGTCAAACTGGCTTCAATTAACGTTCTCAGGTTATTTTATCAAAACTATCCATTTAATACGACATCTGGATTAAATGGATAGAATTTATTAGGAAACGTCACACGAGTGTGCAGTTTTTGTTAGAAGAAAACCGTAATACTTTCCAAAAAATTATTTTATATATTTCATAGTTGTAGCTTCATTACCTGAAATTTTGGGATAGTAATACAATTCTAAAGAATGGAAGCTGTTATGCTTCTCCCAAAGATGTCTGAAGTCGCCCAGACGGTATAGTGGTTAGGGGAGGTAAACCGATGAGTTGGCTTCCGACCCAGGTATAGATACAACCATGCAAAATTGGTTACCAACTCGGCGGGAGTTAACCACTAGCTACCAGGCCGCAGCCCTGGGCAGCCTCTGCTGAGCAATGCTTAGGGAAGCCTATTACGGTGACGAAGGGCCCGGGTTCGAATCCCGGAGAAGACATGGATGTTTGTAAATGTATAGTGTCGGTGCAGCATGGCGGCACTCTAAAAATGCGTCTAGCCGAAAAGTCCTGTTCGTGTGGATTGGTGGGAGTAGAGACTGTGATAGACCCCCGAATCCCCTCCGAAGTGCTCTTCCTCAAAATTGGGGGTGGAAAATAGAAATCCAACCTCTCTTCGGAGTAGGCTCTCGCAACCATTGTTACATGTAATAAGGGCACGACATCAACAACAACAAACATGTCTGAAAGCACTCGTGCTTTACAAAGAAAATTACTAACCATCAGTACCTCTTGCTTATGTTTCATACATGAAAGCTTCATTATGAAAAGATGAAACGCTTGCTCAGCAGTGCAAATTACAAGAAAATTTCATAAAATATCAACGAAGTGTTATCGCTACTTTTTGACTAATGCCTCTACAACTTGGATGCACAAAATGCTACTGTTTATTGTTGAATGGCACTGTAGGAGTAAATCGAAGCTTCGTATTAGAAATTTCTGGCATAAAAAGCGGACATTAACATCGTAGATTAAAAATGTAGTATCTGAATTCTCAGTATGATATCAAAATATGTACTTTCTACATCTTCACATTAAACTAAGTTTAATAAATACGTTGCAGGTAATGGCTTGGAAAGAAGAAAGTTTTCATTTCTTAAACCCAATCCCAAAATTAGGGAAGTCAAAATTAAAACAGACATATCTTTTTACACTCAAATTAACGAACTAATAATTTATTTTGAATTTGAAAGCACTTTGAATAAGGCAGAATCTTAGATATGTGGGTCTTTTAAAACAGAGGAAGAATTTCGTAGGTAATTATGTAAAGAATTAACTCTATTCTTAACGTATGTCAGAGTGATGCAGTAGTCTGCATATCCAATCTGCAATTAGGAGATTTTGGAGGACAAAAAAAATTTTTTTAAGTTCCTATTCACGTAAAAACTTTATAAATCTACCTTTATAATAGTTCCGTTCCTACCAAATCTAAAAACTTGTGGACTATAACAACCGCCGACTAGGTCCCACTTCTTTTCCCCAGTCGCCTGTTAAGTACGGGGTTGTAAAGAAATGAAGTACATTCTTCCCATGTGTCTTGTGGTGAAATAGGCAGCATACCTAGCCAGTGAACTAACAAACTAGAAGTTTCGCTTTCTCTTTAAATGCTTGAAAGGAGGGAAAACTAATTACTGAGCATCTCTTACTAGGTATGGCGTGTCTTTTAAGACTCATTTTCTAGACTCCGGTTTCGATTTTTTCCCAAAGAACTTAGCAAACGTAAATGGCAAATAGGAAGAATGGTGCTATGAGTTCAACGAACACGTACTGTGCCTTATTTTTTGACCACATTCTTGACCATATCCTTGGCCATACATCCTTATGTCCTTTAAAAAGGAAAATAAAGTAAAAATATGCTGACAAATGAGAAAACTGTTGGAATCCAGAAAAGAGATATGCAATGATATTGAAGAAAATCCATTAAAAATCTTCTTCTAAGAAAATAATCACTTACTGTATAAGGTGTTTCTCCCGCCTTCTTGGCATGCCTTCGTGGTGTGGTGGTCTGCAGGCTAGGCGCGTATTCCAGAGGTCCGAGGTTCAGGCATTGCTGATTTTTCATCTTGCCTGCTTCCAAAAGTACCTAATGTCTCTACAACTGTAATTGCTACGTGAAAAAGAAATAGTACTTTTTGTAAAAAAAAAAAAAAGAAAAAAGAGAAAAAAGAAAAAAAAAAAAAAAAAAAGAAAAGAAAGAAAAAAGAGAAAAGAAACTCTGTCTGCCTAAAAATAATGCTCAGGATAAAATGTACTGATCGGATTAAAAATCAGCTATATTTTATGTTATTATTCAGAAATATTTTAAAGTTCAGTATTTGGAGTCTCTGGAACAAAAAGTAAGTTATATTTTGCCGTTCACAGCTATCTTTTCATCTGCACCAATCTAGAATTTAACAATCGAAGAAAAAAAAAACATGCTCGAATGGGAATTTAATATATAGCAGTTTAAGTACAGGTATATTATTTTCCGTAAATTAGATTGCTTTTCTCAGCTACAATAAAATTACGAAATACAGAATAAAAGAACTGAGCTAGATACAAAATGAGTTGAATATCATTTCTATTTATGCATTTCTTATTTTGATTGTTAATCTTCACTAAAGAGGAAACTGGTCGCCTTTGTATATTTCTTCTACATCCTGCAATTTTGTTCATAATACAACGCAAAATTTCAGTACAAATAGCCTACTTCATTCTAACGTTTGCCTGAAAGCAGTATTCTACTTTTGCTTTCCGAACTACTTATCTTACGCTGATTTTAAATGCAGCAGGAATGTAAAAAAAGTATGTTTATTATATTTTTAATAATTTTTGCTATAACTTTTCACTTCAT